ACAACAACAACAACAACAACAACAACAGCAGCAGCAACAACAACAACAACAACAACAACAACAACAACAACAACAACAACAACAACTATATACATTGTGAAATGATTCATACCTGGATTTAAATTTTCACAAAGCTCGCCACTTGCCCATGAAGGACAGACACACTCAAAGAATGGCTCAGTACATCTTCGAACACATGTTGAGCCACTTTGACAATAGTTGATGTCACACTCCTACATATGAAATCAGTTTACTTAAACGAATTGGACTGAAAGAACTCTTCGTGAATGGTAATTACAGGAATGGTATATTACCTGATCGTTTGAAAGCTTGACAAAATTCACGCCATGGTACGGAATTGATTGGTTTCCGTCAGGGTCTGAGCTCAAAAGACAATTCTCCGATTTCTTAAATTCGAGAAAGATATAAGCCTTGCAACGTTGCTCTTTCGCACACTCAATAGAACAAAATGCTTTCAAAGCCACTGTTGTAATATTTAAGATTTTCTTCGAGAATAAATCATTGTCTATAAAATAAAGGTGTTTTTCGTTACTTATATATTACGATTACGCTTACCTAATTACATACTTAGCCTAGACTATTTTATCTTTACAACAATTGTGATATTACTTTCTTAACTGTGTTTATCCTAAACCACCCTGTCAACTTTCCCTGTGGGAGGAACCCAGAGCACCCGGAGAAAACCCACGACTTTCGGCAGAGCGTTGACTGACTCTTTTCACATGAGTCCGTAACGAGAATCCAACCTACGAACTCCGAGATAAAAGACGAAGCCCCATAACAATCAATATTTAGAAAATAACACACGAAACCCCTCCGATACCAAAGCACATCTTTGGAGGAAAACCTGATTTTCGAAAGTGATTCGAAGATACTTACAAGGGTTTATTGAACATAATGAGGAATCAGGTGTTTGGTAAATAATCCATCGACTATATGGTCCACGTAAATATATGTTATAAGCCAAAATATGAGGTTTATCGACGTGGCCATAATTCATTTTTATCTTCGTTCCTCCAACCTATAAAATGAAACAGATTGGCTTAGCTCTTCGTTCTTTAATTTAGGTTTGTTTCATTTCTGTTTTCTTTATCTCGTAAAAATATCACAGCTTGTCAACAGGATCACGTGGTATCTCATAAGTATGCTCATACATCTACCAAAATCCGGTGATACTGGTCGTGCTCATGAGCATGCTGGATTTTGGTGCATATATGGGCGTGCTTATGAAAATACCTTATTGGTGTTCGCACTGCTTGTTCCCAGTTGTTGACAAGTCTGGAACAAGTTGTTATCGTCTTGTAGCAAGGCTGACGAGGCCAACAGACTCGCAACAAGTTGTTCCAAGAAGTCTGATATCGTCCGCACCTAACAAGTTGTTAACAAGTTGATGACAACAAGCTCGTAGCAACTTGTTACGAACAGCCTGTATTAGTCTTGTTAGAACAACTTGTAGCAAGTATGTTACCGTCATCAACCTTGTAACAAGATGATAACAATTTGTTCCAGACCTGTTACAACAACTGGGAACAAGCAGTACGAACACATCCTGATATCGGCTTCACAACAACCTTGTTGCAACTTGTTTGCAGATCTCTAACAACTTGCGCCGTTTTACGTGTACACGCGTAAAACCGCACAAGTTGTTCCAAGTCTGCAAACAAGTTAATTGTTACAAATCTGTTCACAAGCAGTGGACAAGTTGTGTTCGTACTGCTTGTTCACAGCAACCTCGCAAGCAAGGGTCTTTAATTCCGCACGGCGCTACCGTTGTTGTAACAAGTTTAGAACAAGCTGTTAACAACTTGTACCAAGCTTGATTGCATTATCAGACTTGTTACAAGGTTGTTTAACAAGTCTGATACAGTCATGATATAGCAAGAAAGTTACAAAGTTGACGACACAAGGTTGTAACAGTATTGCTATATCATGAATGTATCGTACTTGCTGGAACAACCTTGCAACAAGTCTGATAATGATCAACAAGCTTGTTACAAGTTGTTAACGTCTTGTTCCATACTTGTTGACAACTTGGGACAAGCAGTGCGAACACAACTTGTTGACGGCTTGTTGGCAGACTTGCTACAAGATGTGAAATTTTTGCGCATGTGCTTGAAATATGAAAACTTAATCACCTCGAAAAGGAGTCCATCACAAGCCCATTGCTGTGATTTACTTGTCGAGTTACAAGTCCTGATACGAATTCTGTTTCCAATGGCAATTCCGTTAACGATATCAAGGCACTTTCCTGTATATTCATGCCGTAATTGCCTGCTGTTGATCCACTGCCAAGCTTGTAACGGAGAGAACAAATCATGATCACACGTTTGCGCTAAAACGTAGTCATTGGCATCCACGCTCGCACACAGGTTGAAGGCTTTCGAATATATTTGGAATCGTTGGTCTAAAAATAGATTTCTCATTAATAATTCATGTCAATTTCATTCTTTAAAAAGACTATGTTTATAGATTGATAATTATACAGGGTGTCTAATAAAAGTGAACCTTTTATAGGCCACTGTCAAATGTCAAACTTTTCATGTGCCGAACCTAATGCAAACTAAGACGCCCACACTTCATTAACCCTGGGAGTTTAGAATGCATTGTAATCGTATACGAGCATGTTAAAACTGCATAAATTGTACATGAAAATTCTAACCGTTCGATTGAAAATGATTCAACTGAATATACAGAGCAAAGAGTTTTTACTGTTTGCGCGCTGCCTTTAATCATGGATAATAAAATATATGGATAGGATTCTGGCTGACGTAAGCAAACACAACCTAGTCACAGAATAGGAAGTTATATCAGAAGCGTAACTCTAGTCGTTTCCCTTATTGTTTGACGTCCACGAAAATTTTAACTCGCTCACGTCAGGCCACGCCATCTTGGCTAGTACAGCCGGAAGTTTTTATCAGGATTTGGTAGGTACAAAGTGCCGGTTGTACTAGCCAGGATGGCGTGATTGATGACGAATCGCTTGTAAACGACAAAGTATTCAAGGTAAATGCTTTTCGTCTTTCTTTTGTATTTTTTTACATTAAATTGGCGTCCCCAATTTTAACGAAATTTGGGTTGCATTTTTCACCGTTTAGTGCTTGAAATATTTGCTAAAATTGACTGGGAATACTTAGAGATTTCATCGTAGAATGGCGTAGTTATATTCATTTGCTTTTTGACTAAAATGTTTAGCTGTATTATTGCTAAACATGCTGTTTTTGAGAATTTGGTTTGCAACTAGGTTTCAACATCCAATCAGCCCATTGAAAACATTAGGTCACGTCAGCTAGTTTCCTATCCATATATTTTATTATCCATGCTTTAATTAATCAGCACATAATCATATTCATATGTTGAACGATACCAAAAACTTTGAAATAACTTCCCAGGCATAAAAATTCGACTCAATTGTGTTTTATACGCACTCTTGTGTTCATTATACAGGGTGTATAAAAAAAAAAGGTAATCGAACTTCAGCGCGCTATTATACGTGAATTACTCGGCGTATGAACAATTGGTTTTCATATTCGGAAAGATCAGGCTTTTAGCTATTGAATGACATGCTTTTCATGCCAAGTGGAGAAAAAATAAACATGTACGAGGCCGATTAAAAATGTTAGTCAAAATCGCATATTTTCACCTCTGTGCCTAATTAAAACAATGCATAACAAAAGAAAAAGCGATTAATCACGAACGTATCGTAGCTTAGCTAAGATTTATTCCTACTTAATAATAATTATGAATATGTGTGCAGTTTACTGAAGTGAAATTCATCAACTTAAGTCCCAAAGGGGGTTTATTTTCAATGGTTTTAGACCCAACTCTCAACAGTGAAAATTGCGATTCTGACTAGCATTTTTTATCGGATTCGTATTTGCTCATTTTTTATCCATTTGGCATGAAGAAGATATCATTCAACAGCTAAAAGCATGATCTTTCCGAATGTGAAAAAATATTCAGATACAATAGCGCGTAGAAGTTCGATTACCTTTTTTTTTTATACACCCTGTATAGGACTCAGTATCCTATTGTTATAATTTGAATGCCTGAGCACTATGCTGAACACAAAAGTGCGTAAACACAATTGAATTGAATTTTTAATTACCATTCGCATAAAATCCTGTGTTTAACAACAATAGGATAAATTTCTATAGAGGGTACTTTTTGGGGGGACACCCTATAACTGGAAGCTCTGGTTACATTTCCACCTAACAGCAGGATAGATAGTCTGGTGAATTTGAGAGGACGTCCTTGTCAAATATAACCAGATCCTTGGTTACATTAACCAGACATATAATAGGAAGTAAGATAAAATAACAGCAACTGTAACCAGGAATATCAACCCATATGGGTTACCACCAGTGGCGTAGCCAGGCCGACAATGGACGACTTGCGCTTTAGAAAAATTTTTAATCTGGGAATAACAAAGGATATTTTTGGAAAGAAGTTATCAAAATTAGAAAAACTGCAAAGTTTGGTTGAAAAATGTTGTAAAATACGGAAAATATAGCCCTGCGAAGTTGGCAAATTCGTATAGTTACCAATTCACGCACGTAATACAAAAGTATACAAATTTCCAACTTTGAAGGGCTATATTTTCCGTATTTTACAACATTTCGCAACCAAACTTTGTAATATTACTAATTCCAAGACGCTCTTTCTAGCTGTGGTGATAGATTTCGTTGTTCTTACTTAGATTAAAATTTAGTCTAAAGCGCAAGTCGTCCATTTGGTCCTGCTATGCAAATTCAAAATTATTATCATTATTCATTTCTTTAGAAATTGATTGTTTTCACAGTCAATGAATACGAAAATATTTGCATAGCGGGACTAAATCGTCGGGCTGGATACGCTACTGTGGGTTATCAGTCTATAGGCTATAACCAGAAAAAATTTAATCAGGGTCCAGGATGTTTGTATACAGAGTGGACTGTGCATGTCAGTCCAATATAGTGCAACAACTGCCTCGTACCCAGGCGCTTTAAATAATTACAATACATGAAGTATTCAGGTAGGTAGGAGACGCGCGAAGGGGCTGTTGGGAAGAGTGAATGCTGGGGAGCGCCTGGCAGTTCTAGTATACTGTCATGGCAGGAAAACATGGAATTTAATACAAAACGTTACCATATTGTCATATACTATGTGTGTAAAACCTTATTTTTTGGTGAAGAGTTGAATTGAACGCCATTGGCAAATAATAATAAAGTTGTAGATATTTGATGACATGCAAAACGCGCGAAAAATAATGTGTAAATTACATGGCAAGTTAACCGTGCGAATATTTCGAATATGTCATTACATTCGGCATTACATGGAGAATAATAGAATGCTATCAGTTGCTTAGTATAAAATAGTAACAGAGAGATGATTAGAAAGTCATATAATTGCTTTTATATTAATAACTTCTTTAGCTGAAGGCTCGATCAGTCGATCACAATGCCAATGGCAATTTATATTAAATGTATACTGTAAACAAAAGCCCAAGTAAATAAAAATTCACAGCCGTAAAGTTTGAAATATTTATTACAACAGTGCAATTTTATAGTTTAAGTTTGTACCTTTATATAGTTATAGCTTACAAATCTAGTTCCTGCATGTCTAATTCTTCAACGCTTCGGTTGTTGAAATTTTAATATTGGAATTTCCATGGACTTTAAATAAGGCATATGTCATATATATCAAGAATAACAGCATGAATTCACGCCCAGATGACAGAAGAATATTAACATTAGTCAATTCAACAAAAACAGGTAACAAAAAATCGTAAACGACAACGAAATATCACAACTTGCAAGAAATCGACCAAGAACTGCCAGGCGCCTCGCAGTTCAAGTGCATAGTGATGGGCGATACCGAGTACTCGGTATTCGATACCAGCGATACCACAAACAGCGGTATCGGTATCGATTACTGACGTGGTATTGTTCGATACTTACACCCTTTTTTAAACGACTTGTTTAATTTTACTTCTTGGTTGAATAAGACTTAATGAACCACTAAAATAACTCTTAATATTCCAAATGTGGTGCGCCAAGTCATATATAGAAAATATTTATTACGTTTTGGGCTTTTGGTTCACTTATAGCTTTATTTATTTTACATACAGTAATGTAAAATGTTTTTACGCTGACCGGCAGGTATCGAAAGTAGCCGATACTAGCAATTTAAGTACTCACTTCCGGTATCGAAAATTGAAATTTTGTGTTTATTTTGGTATCGAAATAGGTATCGGTATCGGCCGATACCGATCTTAAAAGTATCGGTATCGGTATCGAATTAAAAATCCTGGTATCGCCCATCACTACAAGTGCACTCTTCCCATCAGCCCCTTCGCCCATCTATCCCCACTACAGTGACTACAATACTTCATGTAAACTCGTCCTATGCGTATCACTGTTTTTTTACAAAGAGACGCCTGGGTACGAGGCAGGTGCAACAATAAGAAAGCTGTCGACTGAAGAGTGAAGGAATGCAACTACAATATATACCTCAGAAAAATACAAGGAAAACTTAGACGTACAAAGTTGTCCTTTAGTAGTGATATTGCCGATATAGCATTTTATGATCGAATATTGTGTGTTCGAATTAGACCAAAGGCCACTGTTGAAAATACAGCCTAACTTAGGCCGAAAATATTAATATAAAAACTATAAAAATATAAAAATATATACGTTTTGAGCGAAGGCGTTTCGTCGAGAAATTAGCATGCCTTCGCTCGAAACGTCGAAGTTCTCCTTTTATTTTTCAATTAGTTGCATCGCTATCAATCGCGAAGCTTTCTTGTTTTCCAAGAGCACATGTTTACATACTTACATCCTGGCTTTGCCGTACACAAGGTTGATTCTGTTTGGTAGATGTTCAAGTGGTCTCTGAGACTAGCTTGATCTGATGTTATCAAATGACTTTCACCATCACGAGCATAATTCATGAACATCCAGATGTTCATGACGAGTCGCAAGACATCTCTGGTACAAGTCCAACGTTGTTTTGGGCTCGAGTCATTACAAGGTAGGACTTTCAGCTTTTCATGTTCGATAATATCACCATCTATGGATGCAAGAAAAGCTGTGGTAATTATAACAAGAATTATACTACAGGACCATAGATAATCCAAATTCAGCATGTTCGCAAGCGTTCAATATCGAGTTTATCGATAATATTTTTACACAGCAAGAAAATCCAATGATACCTTCTTTATAGCATTATAAGAGAAAATGGCCAAGTACGAATCGTATAAAAATTACCGGTGAAAATTGATTTATCCACCGTTGGCAAATTTGGTGTCCAACAATTATATTTTGGTGTCCCAAAAATCCCCAAAACCATTGAAATAACGTATTGTTAGAATTTGAATGCCCTAGCACTAGCTGAATGCAAAGATGCGTAAAAATTGACAGGGTGCATATACAGGGTGTATCAAAAAAAGCGCAACCTCGGAATTTCCCAAGAAATCGACATTGTTTTAAAGACAAAAAATTTTAGGCGCCTGGGAATTTAAAATAGCATAACTGTCAAAATTACTGCACACGCGAGTGCATAAAGCAAAATTTATGCATTTATTTAATGCACAACAACAGTAATATGATCTATTAGCAATTCGATTTCAATTCCCAGGGGCCTAAAATCTTTTATGCTTAAGAATTGCAAAGTAATTTCTTAGGAAATTCCGAGGTTGCGTTTTTATTGATACACCCTGTATTAAATATTGACTTGTTAAGAAATTAAAATATCTTTGTAAAGCACACGATTTTCTGCTCTTGGGAAGAAGCATGCAGCTTCTTAAACAGTTTCTTTATGCATAAAATTTACTTACGTCAAGCTTTTATGCACTTGTGGGTGAGGCATTCAAATTCTAACAATACGTTATTTCAATATAGTTTTGGGGTTTTGGGGGACACCCTGTACTGTATAATATGCAATGAATAAAGATACTTCAAAAAAATTGCTTTTCCATCGCTAGGCAGGGCCGTTCCTAGCGCGATAATTGCGGGAGGGAGTTGTATATTCATATATTCGTGTTCTGCCCGACGGATTTCTTTTGAAAGTGATTGTTTTTACGGTATGTGAACATGAATATATGAATATACACCCCCCTCCCCAAATTATCACCTCTAGGAGCGGCCCTGTCGCTAGGGAGCATAGCCTTTTTCAGAGCGGGGAACAGATGGAAGTATAGCCTCAACCATTGGTTTCAACTGCTCAGAAGTACAGAAAAAGTTGTTGTGACACAAAATTTTGCCACTGTTTGACACTCACCAACTGCTAGACACTTGCGTGTGCTTTTATGAAGTAATAGATCATCATTTATCCACATCCACCGCTGGCCAACCTTCTCGGTGTCACATTTTCCCACTGTGACGTAATCAGAACCGTTCACCACAACGCAAGTTTTATAGAAGACGGAAAAGATCTGAAAACCTAAAAAAATGAAAACAGCATTACCAATTTCTCTATACTCGGTTTTTAATTATGAAACTCATTAATAATTCATGAAGAAGGCAAAAATGATATCTGATACAAAATCATTACATAAACTTAAAAAAAGATTTTTAATCAATGTACTACAGTTAGATTAAACTTCACGCTATACACGTTGAAGATTTTAGTTTCAAAAACAATTACTGTTAATGGATAGTATACTGTCTTAATATGTAAACGGTATAAGAGAACGTTAGGCGTCCTATTTCCTCACTTTTTTAACGTTTGAAAGTTGCAAGAGTTTCGTCAGTAAACGTTGAACAACGCCGCGCAGTAGCGCTGTAATTTATCCAAGTGCCATTTTCTTTCAATATTACTGAGTTTCAAACAGTTTCGCAAGGGTCGATATCATGTTTAGCAAAATTCTATGGAGCGTTATATCAACACAAATGATATCTTTTGTCCAAGAATAACTTAAATATATCAATTTTAATTACTGAACAAGAATATTTTTAGCTATAAATTCTATTTACCTGGCGTTTCGCTTGTATTCACTTTTATAAATTTTGCTTCGACATCACAAGTTCTAATTCCCCCTGTTTGGTAGGTGTAAAAGACAACGAACTGTAGAAATACGATAAATGACGCTTCTTGCCCCATCCTCCACCTTTGAGCGTGTTTCAATGTGTCAACAGTATCGTACTGTCACAAAATTGACAAAAAGAGTAATTATGTACGATGTTGATACAAGCTGGTGGAAGAATCTTCTGGACGTGCGCAAAACAGTTGAAGCACTTAACATCATTTTATCCCAGTTGGGAATATTGGCTTTTAATTGCAAATATTCACAGGAGGTATATCACTATATCTGTTAAGGCGTATTACGATTATCAATTCCTTCTATTCTCAAGTAGTGGTCTTTTATCGCATGCACCTGTACATGTAAGCTGGATATTTTCATTGGTCAGCTTAGTTTTCTGTTTGGTTGGTGAAAAAAACACAAAACTGTAGACTAGTACGATAAATAAAGCTTATTTTGCCATCCTCCACCTTATAGTGTGAATCAGTGAAAAAATTTGCTTTAGTTTACTTTTCATCTCAGTAGAGAATGTTGGCTTTTAATTGCAAATATTCACAGGAGGTACCACTCTATATCTGTTAAGGCGTATTGCGATGATCAATTCCTTGTATCTTCAAGTGATTAGTGCATTGTGTTATCGCACCTGTATATACATGTAAGTTGGATACTTTGGTCAGCTTAGTTTTCATATACACACTGTTTGGTTGGTGTAAAAGACACGAAACTGTAGAAATACGATAAATAAAGTTTGTGTGATAAATAAAGTAATGTTGGCTTTTAATTGCAAGTATTCACAGGGGGTACCCTTCTACCTGTTAATTATCAAGCTGGCTTTTTAGATTATCAGTTCCTCATCAATTATATACCCAATTTCATATTGAAAAATGAAAGTAAGGTACTTTCTTTTCAATGCAACTTGTCCACTTCTTCAATTTCAGAATTGTCTGTTCGTTATCGTAGACGTTCTCCCGTAGTCAATCATCTAACTTAGTTTAATCTTATATGTTAATATAATTTTATATATTGAAGCTGCTAAATAAATAAAGGGGATATATTTTGTGCGAAATTAGCATAAAAAAATGAGCATTATTTTTTATTTAAAATGATGAAATAAAATGATGAAATAAAATGAAATAATTTTATCCAATCCTATAGAACTGAAGTATAGTTGTAACCATGCAAGAAATATATGATAAATAAACCTCTCCCAATATAAAGCTTTTATCAGACCATCTTTTTCTTCAAAGTTTGGGTCTGCAGAGAATCCCCCCAAAAATGTGTGATCATGATATTATTAAAGTAAAGAACAAAACACTTCTTTTGTTCGTTTTGTTTAATTTTACCCCATATAGTATTTATTTATGCTATTAAATAATTGACAAATTTAGGCTAAAAGCAATCGACCACTATTGTTCAAATTAGGCCCAACAATGTTTCATCCAACAACTATATAAGTATTTCGAATGATGCTGAACTGGTTTGAACCTATAACCACTAACTAGTGCATGACGCGTAAAGAAGACCAAAAGTTAAAACAAAATTGAATGTCCGACAACTTATTAATTGTCTTTATTTGAGACTCTGTTGTTTTTCAACAAAGTAGCGATTCTTTCCTAGCACTTTCATCACGGATTCAATCTTTTTCACCACGCTTCGTTTACGGTTTTTCTTTGGTTGACTGGAGCCTTGCTGAACTGTCTCATCATCGACACCATGGGAACGTTGCTTTGCAGAAGGAATGAAATTGCAGTAAACACGAAGTTCTAGGAAGATGTTCTGTGACTGGTTCACTATGACAATGACAAAAGACGTAATTGGCTTACATAAACAAAAGGAATATTGTTCTTGCTTCGTTCTTTAGAAAATCCATTCTATAGCTTATTCTTTTGTCATTGTCATAATCAACCAATCACAGAACATCTTCCTAGAGCTTCATGCCGAACATACAGATACAGACATTTCACAGCACACTCCCTATATCAGGGCTTTTCAGTGACTGGTTACATTATGAATAGATAGATAGAACCGGACTGACGTGAAGCAGACCGAGGTAGACTTTGAGCTTACAAATGGCGCTTGAGCAGCTGCCGCTATTAGTCCATACCTCATTAATGATCTGCCTCCAGACCTATGTGCCTAACCCACCCTGTCAACTTTCCCTGTGGGAGGAAACACAGAGTACCCGGAGAAAACCCACGACTTTCGGCAGAGCGTTGACTTTTTACTCTTTTCACATGAGGACTGGGTTCGAGTCACATTGAGAAGTTCTCACTGAGATTCAAACCTGCGACCTTAGAGGTGAAAGGCAAGTGCACTAACCACTTCACCACCGAAGCCCCATATGAAATTGCCCTTTTCCCCAATGTGGTTGTTGTTTGAAAGGTAAAGGTCCAGGCATCTGTGGTTCTATCATACCGCCTCCACTCCTTAGTTTCTGCGGCAATACTCAATTAATGATTGCTATTAATTAATTAATTTGTTCTTCATATATTATTATTTATTTTTTCATTGATTTAATTATATAAACTTCATTGCTTCTGCCATATTATTTCTTAGTTTCAGATTAATATTACCTCTGATTATTTACCTGTTTAGCCTTCGATTGACTATTCTTTCCATTCTTTTCAGTTGCAAAAAAAATAATGATTGTTATTAATTCGTTTATTCTTCATTTATTAATTAATTAATTTGTTCTTCATATATTATTATTTATTTTTTCATTGATTTAATTATATAAACATCATTGCTTCTGCCATATTATTTCTTAGTTTCAGATTAATATTACCTCTGATTATTTACCTGTTTAGCCTTCGATTGACTATTCTTTCCATTCTTTTCAGTTGCAAAAAAAATAATGATTGTTATTAATTCGTTTATTCTTCATTTATTATTATTCTTTTATTCATCTATTTAATTATATAAACTTCATTGCTTCTGCCATACTATTTCTTAGTTTCAGATTAATATTGCCTTTGATTATTTACCTGTTTAGTCTTCGATTGACTATTCTTTCCATTCTTTTCAGTTGCAAAAAAATAATGATTGTTATTAATTCGTTTATTCTTCATTTATTATTATTCTTTTATTCATCGATTTAATTATATAAGCTTCTTGCTTCTGCCATATTATTTCTTAGTTTCAGATTAATATTCCTTCTGATTATTTACCTGTTTAGTCTTCGATTGATTATTCTTTTCAATCTTTTCAGTTCCTTGTTGTTGCTGCGGCGATACATAATTAATAAGCAATTATTGGATTCGGCTTTCGCATGATATCAAGAATTATTCAGACCGAGGTCAATGTTATCTGCCAAAGCGAAGCTGAGGCGGATAACATAAACCCTTTGTGGCATTTTTCGTGCTTTCACCATCCTTATCTGCCAATAATTTGGAGAGTTCACTTTCATTCAGCGAAGCAAATCTGCTGTTAGCCATTGTTTGTTTTTTTTTTCGCGCGCTTATAGCTTCAAGCTTTTGGCCGCGCAGAGGGTTTGGGCATGAGAGAGTCCAATAATTTTTTTTTGGATGCAAGTTCGATCCAAAAAAAAACAATTATTGGACGCTGATGACGTCATCGGCGGAAAATACGTAATAAATGCCAAATACTGAAAATTAGCCGGTGCTTTCTGACCAATTAGAAACGAGAATACATATTAATATTAAATGTATGATAATGATTGTTATTAATTCATTTATTCTTCATTTACTATTATTCATCGATTTAATATTTATTGATTTCATATATATTTCTTAGTTTCAGATTAATATTGCTTCTGATTATTATTGCCACTAGATCAAAAATTTTAATGCCAAGAACTTTTTATTGAGTAGATTATAACGTTCGGTGTAAAAACTAAAGAGTGCGTCCCACCTATTGTTAGGTACATAGGATCGAGTGTTCTGGGAAACCGAAACCAAACAAATATTTTAGCAACAAAAGTGAACTAATTAATCGAACATTTTTTGTAATTTGAAGATTCAACAGCTGATATGCATATTTTAAACCGTTCGGTATCCCCCCTCCCCCACGCATCTTGAACGCGTCATTTACTCATTTGGATGCACAGTCAAAATTACGAACTGGGTTATTATTATACCTGCATGTTAATATTGGAGGAGCTCTCCTTGTTCCGTTCTTGCTTCTCCTTCTTCTCTTCCACATGAAAATCCAAGATATATACATTCAACACATGGTTCAGTCCGTGTGTTTCGAATGCACTCTTCGCAGTAACGCCATTCTGTTTCGAATAATTATATCCATTCTGATAGTTTTCATGCACAAAAATGATCGATTTCAACTTCTTATCTTCATCGCAATCATTTTCATCAGTTATATAAACAGCATACTTCAATTTGGGTGGAGACTTGAAGTGAAACCAGCCGTATTCTAATTTCCCATAAATGCATATGCGACAACGGGAATTCTCAGATATCCTATACGAGACCCACAGAGAGTGAGGGTTATTCCATGTCAATCTTTGGTGATAGTGGGAGGAAACTACAACAGGTCGTTTTTTACTTTCGATAAATAATGGTACGGGGGCTTCTACCGCAAGGTGTTTAGCTTTCCATTTGCCTTCGTTTAGTTCATTCGGCGTTCTATTCCAAACAACGAACTTTAATGTGCCATAATTCCAAACCGCTTCCCTTAAATAATTGTAGACATCAGTTAAAAAAACGGAGGCTTGCCTGCCGCCAAAAACTTGGCCCCAACCAGGCCAAGACCACCCTTCAGCCTCACCCTCAGTTGTTTTTTTTACACTCGTGTTGTTATCCCGCAACGATAAAGAAACAGCGAACAAAACGCTGAATATACACAAGTAATTTAATAGTTTTCCCATTTTAACCGAAAGCAAAGCCAGAGACTTGAAACACTCCTTATCAGTGCGTGAATGCAATGGCTTGCAGAACGACGGTTGCCTATTATTCTATTCGATTCCTGGTGATGCAATGCACCCATTGTTAAACTTGCTGGTAGCCAACAAATATAGATGAGATCACTTGTTGAAATTGTCAAAGCCAAATGACATGCAAACTAAAATCAATGACAAAAGTATTCTCTTTCAAAAGTGATTTTTAATTTGCTAAAACGAATAATTACTAAAAACAACTTAGTCCGTCTAATTTATTCAGGGCCAGGGCCACCGAGAGGGGCGGGGGGGGGGAGGGTTACGGAACAAAACTCCCCAAAAAGGTCGCTATGACGCCATAACTGTTAAAACGGGAGATCAAGCAGTATTGTGTAATATATTACGCTTTGTTGCACATTATGTTAATTGTTGTTCACTATGTACATAATATTTTGTAATATTTTGTTCCGTTCTTGATTCTCCTTCTTCTCTTCCTTATGAAAATCCAAGATATATACATTCAACACATGGTTCAGTCCGTGTGTTTCGAATGCACTCTTCGCAGTAACGCAGTAACGCATATTTTGTTAATAAACGGGCGATTAAACAGAAAAAAAAATTATCCAGCCCCAGAGATCCAGCCCCAAAGACTTATATTCTCGGTAAGCCAAGTCTCCTATCAAGATATTTTATGCGCCTTCGTCGCTTTGGGGATCCATTTTGAGCTGGGGTCCTCAGGGAAAAAGGTAACTGGTCGTTTCGTCCCCTTGCCATTTCGTCCAAATCTGCCTAAAGAAATTGTGGGGGGGGGGGACACACGTTACATCGAAGTTAAAACTGACTAAATCTCGACCTAGGACAATAACAATTTACTGGAAAAGCTTGATGTGTAAAATCTCGTCAAAGCGTTTGTATAAATATATGGTTTCAAGGAGAATGGATTTAGTTTAGATTTTCAACTCTTAAATGGTGTGTATTTCATTGCCATAGCATGAATATTTCTTCTGAAACCTTTTCTGTATCTTATGAAAAGTAATGCAATTTCGAGAATGCAAGAAATGGCGGTCTCATAGAATGTAGAATTATCTAAATGCAAAATTTTGAAAACATATTGAGATTTTCTCCCCCAGCGTCACGCACAGAGAGGAAATAAGGTGACACGGACCCCTCCTCCAGTTTTCCAAGGTAACGTTTCCAATATTATTCATTTAGTTCCGAAGCGAAATATCTGGTGAAAAATCGCGTGTCTTTCATGTACTTTATAATTTTTTCTGCGTTGGTGTAGTGTACTCAGGTAAATATGATCTGTGTGGTGTTACTCTGAGTGTATATCCACACCGGGCGAGCTTGAAAAATATGCCCGGCCACGGTGGGATTCGAACCTACGACCTTTGGAATACTAGCCCATTAATGCTCTTCCAACTGAGCTACGCGGTCAGGACGGTTCGAGTAAGTGATATTTCGGAACAGAATCTAGTTCCTTCAAAACCAACGTATTCTAGTAATATGAATTTTTTCTGCGTTGGTGTAGTGTACTCAGGTGAATATGATATTTGTGGTGTTACTCTGAGTATAATCTTTGGAATTCTGCATTCTATTTTTAAATTATTGAACACACATATAAATACTTTCTTGTGCTTTGCTAAAATCTTGCTAGGAAAGGTTCCGATATACTCTCACAACATCTCAATCAACTATAGTTCATGTTCTGTTTGTTTCTTCTCACTTTTCAATGTATGGATAGAACGACAATGTTTCGGCCCAATAGACCTTTCTCCTTATGAGTGAAATTTTGATCTAGATATGCCGGAACAAAAAGTTCATCACAGCTTGAAAGAGCATCACAAAATTAGTAATATTCCGAAGTTTCGTTGCGAAATGTTGTAAAATGCGGATAATATAGCCTTGCGAAGTTTGCCGTTTTTCAGTCATTTTGCATTATTCACCTGAGTACATTACACCAACACAGCAAATATCATGATTATTAGATTACACTGATATTGAAGGAACTAGACTCAGTTCCGAAATATTGCATACTCGAACGGACCTGACCGCGTAGCTCAGTTGGCAGAGCATTGGGCTAGTATTCCAAAGGTCGTAGGTTCGATTCCCACCGTGGCCAGGCATATTTTTCAAGCCTGCCCAGTGTGGATATATACACTCAGAGTAACATTACACAAGCAAACGGGAAATTGATAACCAGATGATCAAACTGATTACAATTTCCCATTTGTAATACAAAATGAGTGAAAAACGGCAAACTTCGCAAGGCTATATTATCCGCATTTTACAACATTTCGTCCAGACTTGTCTAGATCAAAATTTCACTCAAAAGGGGAAAGGTCTATTAAGACTTAATAAGCCGTTCCAACAATGCATGTTGTCTTCACTTAAATATTTGGCTTTTGCATGTACATCAGCTTCAAAAACAACATCTTTCTTTTACTTTTTAAAAATTAAGAAACTGAACTGTATGACTTTTTCATTAGCCTTATTATTACAAATGAGAATATAAAAGAACAGAAAGGGCATATCATATGCATTATGCATGCATGGTTGGATTGAATTGAAGCTTCCTAATGGAGGTCAGCGTGAGTTTTTTTTACAGTGGAGGATATAAAACAGCACTTGTCTACTATTACTGGTGTCCAGTGGTAATAAAATGCACCCATTGTCAATTTTGCTGGTATGTAACAAATATAGATGAGATCATTTGACATTGACATTGACACTAAATGATAAATCAATGACAAAAGTATTCTCTTTTAAACGGTGATTTTTAATTTGCTAAAACGAATAATTACCAAAAACAACTTAGTCTAGTCTTAGTCCTTAGACCATCTCTTTCACTCAGCCAGTCAGGGCATTATACAATATCAGCTTCAATGAACAATGTCAATGAGCAATCATGTTAACTCTATACATTTTTAATCAATTGGTTCGATTAGGCCAACTAAAAAATTCCCGGTTTCTCACCGGCATCCGCATTACTCCATTAGAAAATATTAGGCCTACATTCTGGCGGAATTCAAGAACTATTTTAGAAAACACACCTACACAGCCGGAATCTAATTTAATCTATACCGCTCACCAGGCAAATATAAGAGTCGGCAGGAATGCTTTAATACAGTTTGATACAGATTATACAGGCGCTAGTGCTTCATATAATCACTCAAGAAGTCAAGTCGATGCATGTACATAGATTTCATCAGTTTGCAACAACTATAGTCTATACACTCAAAAAATACCCGGGTTAAAAAATTACTGCTTATCTATAATTCTCATTTTCGGGGGTAAGAATAAGCGCACAATTTTGCAATAATTGTGCAGGTATATAGTAAAGAAAGTACCATATTGATAGCATGTTTGGACTTTGACACAAGTATGAATATCAGATGTGGAGGCATCTGTGAAATTAACGCTGATAGCTTAAAATTTTGAATTTCTGTCATTTTAATATAAGTTTCTATTAAACTGATATAGTGATAGAAATTTTAGAATCCCAAGGTAACTCAAAGAAAAAATGAGTTGTAAAGCAGTTTCTTGATTTGCCAAGTCGTTTTTGAGTTAATCAGTTTCGAAATCGCACAAAATAGATACAAAAATTGTTGCAAACACTGCACTAGCTTCACTGAATCGCCTTTTTTAACAGGTTGCAGCTTAGCTCGGGAAATATTTGGAAAATCAAAAAACTGCTTTAATGTTCTATAGACATTTTTTGTCTACTTTTCACCCATAGTCATGCATCGAACTCATTTTTTTGTGAATTGTGAAGTACTTTAGAATTTTAAGATTTCTAATAGAAATTTATAATAAAATGTCAGAAATTCCAAATTTTTGGCTATTAGCGTTAATTCACAGATGCCACCAGTCCATATCTAATATTCATGTACTCTTTAAAGGGAAACCGAGGGGAACCAAGTATCTTTAGGTCTGATAAAACGCGCACTGTGAATGTTTTAAATTGCTTCAAACATTATCGATGTAAGTAAGCTCATTGCCATTGGCGAAGTAATTTTCAAAAAATACGTTGTGTAAGTGAAAAAAATCAAAGTTAAAGTTTATGTAAATCAAGGGAAATCTCTATCACATATAAAGATACGACAGGCTTATGATTTTTCTTTGTGTTTTCCTCATGAATTATTAATGAGGAATTTTGAAATACTTGTGTCAAAGTCTACACATTTTGTAAATATGGCACAAAATGCACAATACGTTCACTTATACGTCCCACTATAAAGCCAACGGCCTTTTGGTTATACGTCCCACTATAAAGCCAACGGCCTTCCCAACAGCCTGTTGAATTTCCGTAGCGTTTTTTTTTAGACACTCTGTATAGTAATATATGTGTATTGTGTAACATTTAAGTAGCTACACAAAATAAATTCTTGGCAGGTGTCTTGCATGCATGGGTTCTTTTTCAAGAGTCCCGTTCGTAGTTGCCTTTTTGGATCTTCAAGCTACTAATTCTTATGTAACTGTATTGATAATACATTGTATGTATTATTGATCCAAATAAATTTGTGAAATTGAAAATAAAAATTAAATTGAATTAAATATTCATTCGTTCAAGCGGGTGCTACGGAACATACAAACGATTCTCGTCTTAAATATCAAGGCAATGCATAGATAGCGCTTGTTTCATGAATGCCAAGCACAAATCTATCGCCAACACTGACATGAAGGAATCTCTCATCTCCAAATTTCGACCATTTATATCCCACCGGGTCCCCAGCACTAATACCCTCACGTGTATACATTTGCCCCTCGTTATCCACAGCATAGACCTGCCCGCGAACCCCTGTATCCAACTGCTTAAATGACCCCCCAGTGTTGACCCACGTCAGACCTCCAGGATCACTCGAGTTGACACCAGTCCTATATCAATTTTAAAATTCAAATATTAACAATAATATTATAATAATGGTTGCTAAATAGTAGTATATTTTCACAGGGTATACGAGACGATGACGTCAGGACGATGGCAAGCTAAACCGTTTGAAATAAATGATTGTATGAAAATATTGTCGTGTATTACACTTTCGTATGAATTAGGCTTTCTCACGCCGCCATTTTTGGGTGGATTCTCAGCCGAAGTCTGCGAGTAAGTCCACATAACAGCGACTTTTTATAATTTTTGGACGAATGATGGTAAATTTGCTCTGTAACTAGCTGATCTGACCATGAGCAAAAGGTCTGGAACTAGCAACAGATTAGAAATCCATTCACCGCGCGTAAGAAGGGCTCTGGGTACGAGAATGAAATCCATTTTGCTATTTTTAATCGCTTAGATCTTTGCTTTTTCTTTATGAAACTCGCTGAAACTTTGTAATTATGTTTAGTAAAGAGGGTTATCAATCTACACCGTAAATTTTGGAACAAACTAAAGTATATTTAAGGAGAAACTTGCATTAATCGAAAAATGGATTTCTATTTGGCAACTAGTGCCAGTCCTTTTCGGTGTTTTCAGATTACCTGGAAATGTTAGTATATTTTGAAAAATTGCTAATTTCACATTGTTTTAATTGTCTGCATTGGTTAACGAGAATTAGATGCCACCCAAAAATGGCGGATATTCGTCATCGTGAGAAAGGCTAATTAAATACAGTTCCGAACGTGTAAAACAGAGCTTTAACCTTCAGAGAAATTTTGATCAACTGTGCTAGAAAAACTACCTACCACGGCCTGAAATGTTAGCGTACTATACGAGACGTAAACATATGCATCTTGCCTTTGTCGACAGAGCTTGGACAACGTCTAAACCCCCTGCTAGACTTTCCATTATTCATTTCTTTTGGTATAGGATTAATCGCATTGTATTGATAGCACGTCGCTGTCTTGCCGACGGCTATTTAAGTTGTAAAAGGTTGGGTGTCCGAGTCCATTGTACTGTTGCAATAATATTCAATATTTACAAGGGCGGCGCTAGACCTATTTGAATGGGGGGGGGGAGGTTTGCTGGCTCAACATAATAATTTTTTCCGGACATTATATTTTTCATTTTCTTTTGGGTTAAGTTGGGTTCATGATTTTCCGACCTGGATTCAATATTTTGCCGACCACCTGACGACAACCCGCACAACCCTCCCCCCCCCTAGCGTCGCCCCCGAATATTTCTTACCTAAAACTAGCCGAACCATTGACATTCACTATCCAACAGCCAAAACCACCACAAGACACCCATGAACACATTTCACCAGAATCAATCCACTTGTCTCCTTGGCGATAGACTGACGTATTTTCGAAGCTAACTCCCCAAAGAACTCCAAAATTCCCAGACGAGATTTGTCTTAAAGGTGCATTTGAATATCCAACCCATTTCGTCCCTTGGGGATTTGAACTACTCACTCCAATTCGTTGGAAAATTGTCCCATCTATCATTACGGCAAATATTCCGTTTCCCCCGCAACTTATTTGCTTCAATTGGCCATCAATCACGATTCGTGTGAAGTTTACAAATATATATATTCGATTGACTTCGTTGATTGCCCAAACGTTTTCTCCACAAGCATCACAATTGGCAAAATTTGGGTTGGAAAATACTCGCCATGGTAATAAACTTAAGTTGTATGCTATAAAGTCAAATGAAACATCTTAATTGACTTAATTCGTGTCCTGGTTTTACTTGATAAACTAATGTAGATTCCTGAGTCACAACAACGACAGCAACA